TTATAATAACACAAGGAGAGTAGGAAAAGCGATATGAATGATAAACATACACACACACACACACACATATATATATATATATATATATATATATATTGTGCAGGTATTAATAAAACAGTGCTCAATTTAATATAGCAGAGCTATTAAGCGCATATTAATAAATATGTATGTTATCCCTTACCGCTAACACGACACGGAGTTTCATTCACGACGCAATCTTCAGGTGCTGAGTAGAGATTTATCTCGTCCCCCCAAGGAGACGTGATATGACACAAGGTTGAGTTTATTGTGAGGACCAGAGTGCTTACATTCCGGTACAGAAGAAAAATTCCCCGTGCCTGTGCAACCTTCGTTTGCACTGGACTCAGTAGCGAGCACCGATCCCTCACTATAGTAACATTAGAGGGTGCATCCTCAGGCACTTGGTTCCTGGGACTGGGAAATTCACAGTGTTATTTTCCCCAGTTGCGTCTCTGTCCTCTAAAGGAGCCGCAATTGAGACGCACAATGCATGAAGAGAGAAATGCAACTGAGAGATAATGAACCTTACCCGACATGTGTCAAATGATACCTATGAACTGATCATTACATACTTTTAAAATAATATATATCTGGTTATCACAATTTTGGCCTACTTATATATGATGGGATTACAGTTGTTTTTTTTTTTTAAATTATATTTGACAATGAAAATAAGTGGAATTTATATATGCCTGTAAAAAAAAAGAAAATTAAAAGAATTATATATTTGAGTAGTGAACATTGACATTTTAATTAAAGGGAGATTACTTGTTATAAAAACATGCATATATATTTAATTGTAATATACTAAAAATAGACCGTAATAAGCATTAAAATAATAACTAAAAAATAAATTAAAAATTAAAAATAAAAATAAAATATCTTTCATGAAAATCAGAGTCGTCCTAACGGTGAGGGACAATACACATACATACTTACATATATATATAGACTGGGTTCTATAGCCTTGGATGGCAACTGGTCTAGGAGAAGGACAACTCTGAATTCAAAACCTGCGGAGGGTCGTTTGGGAACCTTGTGGCATTCGGTACACCAGGTCTCTGTATTCGTCCCTTCAAAAAGTGTGGATGGTCCTGCATGAAACCTTCAACACTATAATCAAATCTCATGTGCCGGTGTCGGGCTGTCGGTTTCCTGAAACTGATCTGCTTGACCCTCATACGTTGAATCTCGACGGAGAGTCGATTATATATATATATATATATATATATATATATATGTAATTATTATCACTTATATATCCTTGTTTGAACTGGCCTCTAATGTTCTGGATGAAGTGGCTTGTGGATAGTAGTCGTGGCTCATGGGGGCACAGTCCTGTGGGTAAGGGGAACTCGGATGAATTACACAACGGTATTTGTGAAGTGTGATTCTACATCGGGTCTAATTCGTTACTTCTTTGTTATCGAGGCTCGTAGGAGCAGTTGGTATTACGCTTATGTCGTATCGTGACGGTCTAGGTTCGATTCTCGGTAATGGATGCGCACTGCTGATGATTCCCAAATATTGGACGAAACGGCTGTCAAGTGTATTTTGTTGAGCTTTCTTCTAGACTCGATGAATTACTCAATTATTATATATATATATATATATATATATATATATATATATATATATATATATATATAAATGCATTAAATCCGAAGATTTGTTTTTTAACGTCATGGATATTCATATTTGAAAAGAAGCTCTGTTTTTCATTATTCTTGGTAATTTAATAATAAACGATGAAAAAGGTGACACAGAAATCCATACGTGAAGAAAAGGAAAGATGCCTTCAAGAAAATAAGCAAAGTGTTAAGACAAAATAAAAGTGTGGTGAACTGTTATGAGATATCAGTCCTCCTATATAGTAATGAATGCTGGAAAATCTTCTCATAGATGAATAAGAGACTTATGATAACAGAAATCTGTTTCTAAAGGATGCTGAGAATAGCAATAAAGAAATTGAGGATTAAAGAGGGATGGTAATAAGAAAAATCTTGTTTCTTTATATCTAGAGACGAGCATCAAACTATTGAGTAAATAGACTGAAGTGATTTATCAACTTGCAAAAGAAGCCAACAACACTACACCAACAATCCTCATTGATGGCATCTGCCTTGAACATATCGATACCTAGTTAGCAGGATCTCCCGGGGTGGTTCTCTGGATAAAGAAATTGTCTATGGAATCAGGAAACCAACCGAGAGACGAGGGAGGCTTTGTAACATAAGCCGTTCAACCATTACAGCAAAACCCGGTCAACGAAACCAAAACTGTCAAACGCATTGAATCTAACTGTTGTGGTAGGATCCACCTAATTTGCATAGTGGAGTACCGACCATATAAATATGGTTGGTACCGGGAAGAGAGGGAGAAATCAAGAGATTCAACCAGAGACTCTGCCCGACTGCGACTCAGTCAACACATTCTCCGGGAACGGTCTTACCAGGAATATACAAAAGACTATATGTAAATATTGTGTACACTTTCTTGTTTCAATACATTTTGTTCTAAGTACATTTTGTGTTGCATTATTATTCCATGCATTAGTCAAGTTTCAACACTAACTCATCTCCTCTACGGATGCGAAACGTGAATCTTGTATAGAATTCCTATATGTGGGTGCGGAAGTCTGCGATCTATATTTGAAATCACGTTGCCGGGACGCGTCTCTAAATTTGACATTTTTGACCGTATGGACTAGAACAACATCGACTCAAGTCTCATCAAAGCACAAGTTTGATGGACTGGCTAAGTCACCCGCATGGAGTAACATTATATTTCCAGACGAATGTTCTTGGGTGAACCGCTGTGCAGGCAGGAGAAATCCAGACCAACCAAACAAACGATACAAAGATGTAATCAGAATTAAACTTCCACGTGCCAAAGAAGTGTTTCACAAACTACCAGCTGATTTTTTTTAATATGCGAATAGGATCAACAGGCGAAACTTTCCGATTCAGCTGGGGAGGTCACGCTGGTCTTATTGTATTTTCCTTCCATAAAACGGTTTATTTGGGGGCGGTTATGGCCTGATTGGTAGCCAAGAAACGTCTTAATTCTGGCAACAAAAGGTGCTTCTTCTGACCCTGCACATTAGCCACACATGAACTTTGAAATTCTGCGAGGCATCGAGATTATGAATCTAAGGAATAAAATACTAATTTAAAAAAAAATTCTGGCCAAAATCCACGTGGCTGTTCCTTGTTTTTCCACAGTCGAGCGAATATTTTAAAGGCTAATTTAGAAATATATATCCATGAAAATGGCCTTTTGTCTACAAAGTTACACGTTGCATCATCATGATTGTGTTTTTATTAGTATTTCAGTTCATGATTTCATTATATTTCATTCGTATTAACTGTATAGCAATGACCTGAGTGAGTAATTCAAATATGTAACAATAATAAATATAAAACTACAATGAAAATGTTAAAAAAAGAAACAGAGTCAGATATCCCGGCAGTCAGCCGTGGCGTGGAATGTGACTACAGCTTCTATGTTTCCCGCAGTCCCTCCACATACCAAAAGACGATGGTTTGCGTACCGGCATCGGTACGTGTTCCATACTTTGAGTAGAACTCAGCTAGATGACTTGCTTGACGACAGTTTCTTTTGGCGTACCATTGCCCATCAAAACTCTTTAAACATCCAAGAGAAAAAAAAAGTCAGTAAGATAAAAGGTCGAAAATGCAGATTATGTGTTGGTTACAGTCAACGACTTCCATTGTCCTCACAGATCCAAACTGCGCCCGCAGATTTGGTTGGCAGAACAATCTCTAGATCCACCGATGAATTAAAAAGTAAAGTCTTCTTCGGACAAAAAGGAAATTGGCCAACTAAAGTGCAAATTTCAACAGCTTTGTGACTATTTATAGAAATCCTCTTGACATCGCTAAATGGGGGTCATGATCATAAATACCTACAACGAAGGCAATATAATATATATATATATATATATATATATATATATATATATATATATATATATTTTCGCAGATGAATTCTGTGGACAAGACAGATTGTTATCAAATGACAATCTGTCTTGTCCACAGAATTCATCTGGGAATTTAACTATATTGTCGACATGGAAAAAAAAAATAATAATAATCCCTTACTATAAAGGTAATTTAAATTAACCAGAAAAAAGGTTTAGACACAAGTGTCTATCTTTTTAATTTTGAATTTTAATGTAACTATAACAACAAAAATATTTCGATTTCATTTTTGGCTTGAAAAAGTCGGAAGACGAAACGCGTCGGCAAAATGTAAGATTTTTTCCAATTGTCATTTGATACCATATATATATATATATATATATATATATATATATATAATCGACTCTGCCGTCGGTTTCGACGTATGAGGATATGGCAGCTTAGTTGATTCAGTTATGAAATTTTGTGCGATAAACTTAAGTGGCATTTAATAAACACAAGTGATTTACAAAGGAGGCCAGATATGGGATTGCTGTTAGATTGGCTGACCTTTTAGATCTTGCTTTCGCTTCTTGAAGATGATTCAGACAAGCAGATTGAAAATTGATGAATCCACTAAAACACGTTGATCTCCATTCTACCCACTCCAAGGCTAAGGGCTCAAGGGTGTTATGTGGTATATTGACATCTAAAAATTTGCTTTTCAGCTTGTCTTTGTATCTTAGCCATGGGCGTCCTACATTCCTGTAGCCCTGATCTAATTAAATGTGTGAGGGAAAGCGCATGCATCTTCGTTAACTGACATCATTCATCTGGCCGCGGTACACAGCGGACGGATGTGACCTTGACAAAGAAGAAGCCGATTCTCAATTGACAATATGAATATTCATCTGCTCAGCTATTTGTGTTGGGAACACACGTCCCTAAGGTCAGAGGGAATCAAGCGACACAGACAAGAATGAGTCGTAACATTCAAAAGTCTTTTAACCTGATGCAAATCGCATTTTCCATCTGGTTAATCGATTGTGAGTTTAC